GCCAAAGAAGCTCTTGGGGCCACGCAAGCTTTTCTCATCTAGGGGCTATTGTCCCACCAGCTGCAAGCCGGCAGCTGGAGACCAGAGTGCCAGTACTCGGAGAGCCACCTCACTGCTGCGGGAGGGCTCTGCCCGATTACATCCCGCTTCTTCACAGGCATCCAGAAATTACGCGCATGCCATGGCATGGGTTGCTTTTGGAGAAAAGGGCAGGCCCGGGGTACAGCACACATAGCAATTCATCTCTGTAAGCAGTCAAGGAGACTGAACCGCTATTAAATACATTTAACCAGCATCACAGAAAATGTGAAATACCTATTCAGTGATGGAGGTTTGTGGGAACTCTGGATTATCATTGCTTTTTTGTACAGGCAGAGCTTATCAAAGGACTTTCAGATACAGGGATTTTCAGATTTCAGGGAGCAGGTGTCAAGCTTTGAGGACAAGTAAGTAAACTAAATGCTCCTATTTCAAGCAAGGAGCTTGACCTACCAATCTTGAGGGCTCATTTCTGTGGCTTTGGTTCAAGTCCAACTTAATTCCTTGCCAGTTTTTACTCTGTTGGCTCTCGATGTACTGCCTATTTGACCTTGCAGCGATGATGCAGCACTGAATTTTGACCTTTACCTTCCCAAGCAAAAGTTGGTCATAAGAGGATGCTTACAACTAACGTCAGAGCTAAAAGCCTCCAGCAGCAGTTGTCCTTTATTTTCTCCTGTCTGTCTGTATGTACATACACACATAACACTTTGCATTTCTGTTAAATTCCCACTTCAAAGGATGTCCGAGATACATGCTTCAGCATTTAAAAATCTGCAGTGCAGCTCATTTTATGAACTCAAGGTTTCACACACAAGCTAGGAACGGACTGCGGTGGTGACCCCAAAGTCAATACCTCATTGGAGTCCTTGTGGGAAAAGGGCCAAAGGTTTGGTTTCCATTCACAAACCACTCGCATCTTTGCACTGCCCGATATTAAGCAAGCCAGCCTGCAAACAATTAGTTACTTCGTGGCCAGACGAGAGCCAGAGTAATACCTGAAAAGACTTCTGAACACTTAGTAAGATAGTTTGCAAAGTGCCCTGGACATGAGATTAAAAAAAACCCCCAACCTCAACAGTATCATCTTGTTTAAAATTAACCTCAGAGATGTGGTAACTACTTGGCTAGAGCATACAATGGTCTAAAGGCCCCCCCCCCCCCGTCCCCCCACACCCCCCCCACCCAAAACAAGAAGAAAAGGAGAACCAAAAAGAAACTATTGTAGGTAGCAATACAAGACATTAGGACGCTGTCCACAATGACGGACTTACAGCATGTAAATACATTTATTCTATATGTAATCAACAGAAATAGCAAGAAACCCAAGGAACAGACATGTTTTGCTCTGTGGGCATCCCAGACTCCAACATGTCTCATGAGTGTCTGCATTTCTGCCAGTGATATGGAAAAAAAAGAATCTCGGTCTCCCATGGGAGCAATTCTTGACTGAAGAGACCCTCACTGCCTCAAAACTTTCATGATTCAGTAAAACAGCACTTAGGTCTTGCACTGTTTAGGGAGATACAATGGATCAGCTGTGATCAGAAAATTCAGAAAAAACCCAACCAAACTCCAAACTTACCCTATACACTGACAGCCACCTTTACAAGAACACAACACAAAAAGAACTGAAGAAAAACTCAGGTGAAAAGGACTGCCTCCGATAGTGTTTCTTACTCGGAAATGAGAGGTCTTCCTTGAAGTCAGTAGATATTTCATATGTATTTATATAATATATATATTATTTATAGCGCTAGCAATCAACATGTAATGAAGAGATGGTGTGAAGAGCAGCAAAACTGCTGCAGCACATAGCTGAAGGTGGACAACTAAAAGGATAAGCATTTCAAAAAAGTAGTAATAACTGGAGGATAAGAAGCCTGCAGCCATTTTTTTTTTTTTTTAAAGCAGATGTGCTTACCTGACATAAAATGTTACAACAACTTTTAAGAGTCGGTTCTGTCTGCCAAACTTATTTGCCATTTTCAAGAGCTGCCCCACGGGAAAGCCTTTTCCCAAGTGATGTTTCTCGCCGTGGCGGCGGCAGCATGTTGGAGCAAGGGCTCAGCCCCACGAGATGGCACTGTGTCCACACAAGCCAGGCGGAGGGACTGCTGCTGGTTTTTCTCCCACCAAAAATGATATTCCCGAGCAGATCTGGCCACCCTTGCTTCCCACCCTCCCTCCTTGGGGCAGCAGGATGGGGGATGCCGAGGGATGCATACCACCAGCCTGTGCCAGAGCCCTCTCCCCAGCCACACACCCTGCCACTGCTGTACCCCTTGGAAAAAAGAAAAAAACTGAGCAAAATTAATGCAGGCGGAGTGTCGTGTGAGGTGGGAGCTGTCATTAGTAGCGGTGGCAAAGCACGAGTGCGGAGCTGCTGGGACGAGGTGTAGCTCTGTGGAGGAAACTTCCCCGTGCCCGGCAGTCCCTGCTTCTCCCTGCCCTGTCAGGGCTGAGGCAGCTGGCATGGTGCCGCACTGGGACCCTGCAAAGGCTGATGGAGCAGGGCCTGGGGAAATCGTCCAGCCCGTGCTTGGAGCAGGCAAGGGGTTTCTGAGCAGTTGGGGTGGAAGAAGAGCAGCTCCACCTCCCAGTGACGGTGATGCCGCTGCCCTAGCTGGCAGTGATGTTCTTGACCTCCATCCACCTCTGTGGATGCTCCTCTTAATCAGAGCATGCCCTTTCCTCTCAATAAATCCCCTTTACAGTGACACTGTAAAAGGAAAATGACCCAGAATACTTTAAGAAAGATGCTCATCTGTTTTCTTGAGGGAGGCATCGGGGGGTAGGTCAGAGAGCTGGCAAAAGGAGCATCAACTCATAGCGATACAGGTAACTATGAGACACTTTCTGGCAAGGCCCCAGTGAGAAGAGTGCACATGCTGTCCAAAAAAGCAAAAGCTGAGAGCTGGGAGTCCCAGTGAGCCTGGGCATCAGCTAACAAAGACTGAGCTGAAAAGGGGAAGGGGCCAAAGGACAGTTCAGCTCATGCACCCATCTTGGAAGAGGAGTCACGCAGGAAGGGTGAAGAAGCATGAACTAAATACAACTGGTTACACCTGAAGATGGCACAGGAGGGAGAAAAGCTGAGCCCTATCTTTTAAGAGCCATTTTAGAGCTCCAAGGTGAGTAAAAAACATAGGGAAAGGGCAGAGCTGGTTGCCCCAGTCAAAGCCTCCTGAAACTGAAAGCAAGATTTCCATTAGCATTGCAATGGGCTGCATCAGATGCCCAAGGTGAAAAAGAAGATGGCTTGTTGTTGAAAGGATGCCCTTGACATCTCCATAGTAAGAGAAAGTGGGGTTTATGTGGCAAAATGAAGGCAGATGTTGAAAGTTAAAATGTATGTCCTCTGGTCTCTGGTTTTGACTGAAATGCTGGTTTGCAAACTGCCGGGTTACCCCTTATGAGGAAGGGAGCACTTTGTGATTGCTGCCCAGTGGTCAGTCAAAACCCTGCTGGTGTCAGGGAGCTGAGAAATTAAAAACAAAAAGTCCCAAGCCTATGAAAATGTCAAATGGGAAAAAGGTCAGATGAAATTTTCCTTTCATTTTGACCAATGACATTTTCAAAGTTACCTTTAAAGGCGCAATCTGGAAAGCCTTGGGGGAAAACAAAACCAAAAAACACAAAAGAAAACAAACCAACTCTGGTCTTGGGAAGCACATGGAGTGGGAATACGTGCGTGGGCAGGGGCATGCATGTGTGCATGACAGCAATAACCAGGGCCTGGCTGGAAACCTGGAGTGGCCAGGCTGGGGAAGAAAGCCTTTTCTGCACCAGAAGTAGAGAACAGACAAACCTGGCAGTAAAACTACTGCGGTCCTATGTGCTGTCATGTACCAAAGAGTCAGTCTTTTCACTGAGCAGAAAATAAAATAACATTTGCAGTGACAACCGAAAAAGCAAGAGTTCACTCCTTTTGCCAAGTTCCCACTTCACCTGTTTGTGGTGGCCAAGAGGGACACGGCTGAGAGGGACGAACGTCCCCCCAGTCAGCCAGCGAGGACCCGCACTGCCCTGCCCAGGTGCCGGCGGCAGAGGGAGTGCTGAGAAGGCAGCAAACCGCAGTACACGGGATTTCGACTTCACCACTCCATTGCCCTACACTGGCCTACGCAGCAGAGGCTTCCCTGGCTGCAGCAAGCCTGGGAATACCTGCGGAGAGCCACCGAGTGCATCTCACCCAGAAATGTCCCAGCAGAGGACTCCCAGTAGCCCTGACCACCACAAACGTTACGGGACGCAGTGGGTTTCAGTAAGAGCAAGTACCTGCAGCTCTGTGGGAAGTTAACTGGAGCTGCTGGCTCTCAGACCACTTCAAAGCAATGCAAGACATACAGAGGCCCACCTTGGATGCAGACATCAGGTGGTCAATGTCAGTGCCTCCACATGCTTACACCCGTGCTCCTGAACCAGTGGTCTACGTGTATTTGGACTGGGAGGCTGTCAGTGGTTCACAGCCACTGTCACTTGGGACAGGATTACTTCTTGGAGCAACCTGGAGGCACCAAGGTGGTGCAAAACATCCTAGGGAGGGGTGCTGCGTTGCAACCTTTGCAGGTGCAGATCAGTTACTTCAGCGGAGCGTCACCAGTTTATACCACCTTTGCATCGGGCATGAAGCACAGCAATGCTAACATGAGGTGAGCAACCTGTGTGGGCTAGCAGAGGACTTTGGAGGAGGAGTAAGATGGCTGGAGAAGGGAAGGACAGACATATCGAGGGACATGTCCTAGAAGACCTTCAGGAAGGGGACAACAGGTTCCATAAAAACAGGAATAATTCTGCTGTTGACAAAATTAGAAATGAAGTAATAATAATAATAATAATAATAATAATAATAATAATAATAATAATAATAATTATTATAGTCCTTGCACTAGATACTAATTAGTAAATAATTATCATAGCAACTTCTCTTTTTAATTTTTTTCTGGGTTTCTTTTTCTTCCCCAAACCACTCTGAATTGCATATCCAGCCCCCTCGTATTGCAAAGGGGTGGAAAGGGTGTTACATTGTGAATTGAAAATTAACTCCGATCCTACATTCCCTGCTGTCCTACAGCTATTCTTCACACAGGCTCAGTGGGACTTGATCAGGGAAGGAAGGGGACGTTACGTGTGTTCCTGCTTAGCACCCAGAGTACCTGCTTTCCAGATGCACACCTCTTAAGCTCTGATTTTCTTGTTGTTTTTTTTTTTGTTTGTTTTTTGTTTTTTTTTTTTTTACAAGTAGGTCTAGGAAACAGAACAATGACAGGAGGATCATTGTGAGACAATCGATGTGCAGAATTGTAGCCAAAATCTGAATTCACCAGAAACCAATAAGCTGAAATAGCCACAACCAACTGTCCATAGCTTTGTCTAGAATGGCTTTAAACAAAAAATATAAAGAGCCATGGACAGTCTCCTTACCCCTGTCCAGAATTTGATGTAAACAACATCCATAGAAACTGGGATTGTTAAGAAAGTTTATCCATATATCTGGATAGCAATAAAAAGCGTTTCCTAGGAAACTGTAAAATCCTGTACCAAGCAGTGTACAGCCAAGCCGAGAGGAACATTAGGTTGATTTATATTTTCAAGGTACAAGTTTGCATGATTTCTTTTAGATCCTGTGATAATGTACAAGGAGAGCACGTGTGAAGGTCAGGGCTGTTTTTTTTTTTTGTTGTTGTTGTTTGTTTGCTTGCTTTTTCTCTGAAATGTCTCTTGTGTAACTCATTGGTCTGGGGTTTCATTTCAATTCTCGTTTGTAATAACAGGGCATTACCGCTCCCTGCGTCTGTCCTTCCTGTTCACGCCAAGGCTGCATCAGTAATTTCCTTCTGCTGCCAAAGAAACAATGGTTTCGTGTCTTCCCATTTCTTCAAGAACCGCTGCCAGCATGCTCAGGTTGCCGTCAGGGAAATTCTGGGCTTCCCAGAGATCCAGGATCACCCCGGTGGGACTTGATTTCGTAGCAAAATAATTTAGGTACCTGCAACAAGCCAAATGGAAACTCATTTTTTTGAGCTGCATGAAGGCTACCTGAATTCATATGATTTCAGCCCATCCCCATTGCTGGTGCTGGCAAGGTGCTCATCTCCTGTGCAGTCAGTCTGACCAGTCCGTAGACATATCTGCTGTCACTCTTCTTCACCAGGACCCTTTTGCACATACCTCCTGGGGGGAGGGGGGCGGCTTTGCTGCCCAACAATGCATAGACAGCCTCACTTACCTGTCCAGTTTCAGCTTGTGGGCCAGCATCCGCCAGTCATGGCCCCTGGTCTGGGGTGCATCCAGGCTGCTGCACAGCTTCTGCCTTATTGGGAGGGGGATGCTGAAAGCGCTGGGCCCTACTATGGTGGTGATGGTGCCTGCTGAGTCCATAGGAGGATAATCAATGCCAGTAGGTTCCTGAAGTTGGAAAGAAAGCAAGGAAAAAAAAAAAAAAATACAGCAGTTTTGTTACTGAGTGCAGAGATGATTGTAGAAGTGTATCCTCTGAGACTCAGTGCTTTTACTTGCATTAGAGGGAAAGCAGCCCTCTGCTAATCAAGCATTTATGTTAATCAGCTGAAAAAGAAATATTTATAACTGATTTTGGGTAGACAGCAGATTTTTTTTTTTCTTTTTCTTTTTCTTTTTTTTTTCTTTAAGGGTGAAGATTACTATGGCTGGACAAAATTGAGCCCAGCTTAATTAATCACTTACCTACTGGAAATAATGAAAGACCAGGCATTTTGACACATTTCAGAGCAAAGTGCTACTAGTAGGGCAGAACAGGGCTTTTCCAGCTTGGCTAGCAGGAGCCCCTTCCCCGAAGCCCCCCCAAGCCTCCCACCCCACATGCAGCCAGCACTGGGCTCACGCTGCTGACATCCCTTTGGCAGCACCCATACTCTCTGAAGCCTCCAATGCTGGGCAGACCACGGAAGGTTGGTTAATACTGCCGCAGGCACAAGCTGATCCCTCATTTTCATGTGGCTTTAACTCTGTGGCTGGAGACACAGGGAGTGTGTGTGCTCAGGGGGTGGCCGTCACCCTCCTGCCCATGACCAGCACTCAAAGGCAGTGGCAGCAGTGTTTCAAGGGGAAAGTCACCTCCAAAGCCAGCCTGTCCCCTGTGGGTACAGGGTTGATGCTCTCTGATGTGGTCCTCCCAGCTGGGAGGCTCCCCGTGACACAGCTGTAATGTGGCTCCACTGGGAATAACAAGACATTGGCTCTTCTGGGCAAGGATTTTATCTCTTTCTTGGCCGGGAAGGATTTAGCACCCACAGGTAGGTAGAAAGAGGGGCTCAGTAGCCTGTAGGACAAGGGTATGGTCAATTTGGATGGTTGAGTTTGCTTAGGAACAACGAGGTGCTGCAGGGCAACTGAAAGCCCCGCCAGACCCCATCGATGACGACTGGCTGCCTGAGCATGCAATGGGGACGCTCCTCCCAGGCGCAGCACTTGTCACCTCCAGCTAGCAAAGCATGCGATGGAAAAAGCGTCAAGCAGGGCTGGGTCTCCTTTCACGCCTCTCACCCGCCCTCTCAATTGCTCTCCTTTGTAGCATGACAGGCCTGAGGCCGGGCTGGGAGAAACAGGGGAGCTGCTTCATCTCCACCTCTGCCCAGGTCACAGCTCTGGGCAGCCAGAAATACCCGTGTAAAAGACTCCTTGTTAAATGTCAGTTTGTTTTCTCCTCTGTGAGCTGTCTTGTTCCTTTGTATCAAGACAGCTGCTGGGAAGGCCCTGTAAAACCTGAAACTGTCTCAAAACCAGGTAGTGCCTGGCTTAAGCTGCCATTGCAAATCCCCCAGGAAGCTTGTTGGTGATGCTCAGTTACGCGCATGTCCTGGTTTCGGCTGGGATAGAGTTAATTGTCTTCGTAGTAGCTGGTACAGTGTTATGTTTTGGGTTCAGTATGAGAAGAATGTTGATAACACACTGACGTTTTCAGTTGTTGCTAAGTAATGTTTAGAACAAGTCAAGGATTTTTCAGCTTCTTGTGCCCCGCCAGCAAGAAGGCTGGAGGGGCACAAGAAGTTGGGAGGGGACACAGCCAGGGCAGCTGACCCAAACTGGCCAAAGGGGTATTCCATACCATGTGATGTCATGTCCAGTATATAAACTGGGGGGAGTGGGGCTGGGGGGGCAGCTCGGGAACTAACTGGGCACTGGTTGGTGGGTGGTGGGCAATTACATTGTGCATCACTTGTTTTGTATATTCCAACCCTTTTATTATTATTGTCATTTTATTATTGTTATTATCATTATTAGTTTTTTCTTTTCTGTTCCACTAAACTGTTCTTATCTCAACCCACAAGTTTTACCTTTTTTTCCCCTGATTCTCTCCCCCATCCCACTGGGTGGGAGGGGAGTGAGCGAGTGTCTGCATGGTGCTTAGTTACCAGCTGGGGTTAAACCACAACAGCACAGTCTGTGGTTTCCCCCCCAAAAAATGTATGCAGAGATGGAAAGGGGAGAGCCAGTATCTGTGAGCAATGAACAGAATTAAGACTCTTTTGACTCCACTCATTTATCCACAACAATTAATTCTCTTCCACTCTATAAATATGCCTTTTTTTTGCTTTTTTTTTTTTAAATTAGAAATGGCATTTTAGGCGATCAGTGAAATTTCTAACCAAGGAAGGTTTACGCCACACGGTAATGTCCTCAGTGAACATGCCCAAAGCAGTGCCAAATGCGGAATCCCTACCTGGGCACCAAGGCCCTGCATCACAGACCGTCCACCCCAACCCCACCGCTTCAGGCAACGAGCTACTGTCCTCTAACTGCCTGGAAGCAGCTGCAGAGTGGTGACTGGTGGCATTGCAGACACACAACCTTCCCTTTTTAGTCTGGGCCAAGGGACACAAGCGACACATTGAAGCAGTGCTGCCCTGGCTCTCGAGGTGACCTGCTGCCCCAGGTGCACCAGGATGGGTGCAGAGGGAGCCCAGGTATCCGCCACGGTGCCCTGGGGCTCTTTTGGGTGAGTACTGACAGCACAAGATAAAAAGGGGGCTTCAAAAACAAACAGTGGGAGACCTTTATCTCATTCTTCCTCTTGCCTCACGAATTTGCATGTTTTGGCACTCATTGCATTTGTATTTTTGAAATCCCAGTGGCAGACACTGTATAAAGCCAGAATAAGACAGTTTAATCTGCAGAAGTTTTACATCCTTTACAGGGGAGAAAAAAGAAAGCCCATAAAGGAAGGATGCAGGAAACTGTGTTACTGTATTTTTACCACAGGTTGACAGAGGCAGAGAGGCAGAAGAAAGGCACCAGCATAGTCCTGCAATGCCTAACCACTTGCTGCCTGCCCCCCCCACAAGAAGAGAATAATGTGCGCAATTTGAAATCACCAGAAGCAAACCAAACCAGACACTATCTCAAAGTAGGGACCACAACACACCCTTACATGACCTAGTTAGTCACCAGAGGAAAGTGTGAGGAACCACAGCTAAGGTTTCCTGATGCCTGGTCTGGTGTCTTTATCACAACAACCCCTTCCTCTTATGCCTCTAGAGGCATACACATTGGTTTCCAGGTTGCTGTTATTACATTTCCAGGTAAATTCTGTCATCAAACCAGCTGAGTTTTAGGGTTTTTTTTGTAGTAACAAAGTTGACACAACCCTGTATGCCAGCCCTTAGCAGCCCAAGGTCCTCCTGCCCCTCACTTGGGCTCAGGAACATCACTCCATGTCAACCAGGAGGAGCAATTTTGCAGTAGGCAGCCTTGATAGCAGCGGTATTATTCCCTCCCTCTATTCATCCCTGATGGATGGGATCACAGCACAAGACAAGAATATTATCCTCTTCCCTCTGAATCCATTACCAGGCCCTATTACACACAAGCAGCTGAAGATGATTATAGTGTATACTTGCATTTCATTAAAGTTACTCTCAGTTCTTTCTTTTCTCTGCGAGGTTAAATTAGAGATTACCTCAATGCAGCACTTATTACAATAATTGTTTATGATACTTGTTTTACCATCTGTCTTTAATGCTGTGTAGTCCCCAGCTGAATATGTAACTTTACACCCAATAACCAAGCAGATGTTATGGGTAATGGCAGACACCATCAGGGCCCTACAGCACAAGTAAGTTTTGTCTGTGGTCTCCCAGCCCTTCCCCAAGTCAGCCAGCAGTGATTGCTGCCCAAGAGCCTGCTCTTCATAGCCACCACGGTTACCAGGCACAAAAGCCACCAGCACATTCACTGAAGGCAATGCCACTTCATACCTGAACATGTAGTTTGGTCTCAGCCCTAAGCTTGACTGCCCCAAGGAGTGAAAATTCTCCAGCTGCTACTTGGCGTCAGCAAAGCTGTTCCAAAACTTAGGATCATTTTTCTATTGGAAAATGTCAGCCATCAAAAGAAAAATTGTTGAAGATAATAGTCAGGATTTGTAGCAGTAGCAAAATCTGAGAAGTCTATTGCAGCTAGACTATCTGATATTCCCTTTTGCACAGCAGTTATTATGTGGGATCAGAGTGGACTGGCTCATGCAAACATATGGCAATGACATTTTCCTAGTCTCCTTCCTCCCTCTCCAGGGAAATGTTGGGGGTGATGGTCTTGTGGACTGCCAGGAAACAGGACCATGCAGTGCTTTGCGAGATGCATTAGGGAGTGGCGGGCAAAGAAGTCCTCCACATAAGGCACAGAAAGGCGGCACTAGCAGGGAGACCATAGCTGCCCTCCTCCCTCTCTTGAAGGGGGGACACTCCCTTCCAGATGAGAGAAACTAAAGGAAAATGCAACAGGAGATACAAAGCAACAACTTAATCCATCCCTTATGTCCATCCCAGCAGTCAGGAGGAAAATTGGAAGCACTAAACAGGTAGCAATGGGAAAGGATATACCTCCTTAACCCTTCCATGTTCCTGCAGTTGGATAAAGTGCACCAATGTCATTTACCTCTGAGACAGAGCAGTTGAGCTGGAAGATCTGTCCTTCTCCTTCGACCTGCCGCACGCAGAGTTTGCATACCAGCTCCAGGGTATTCAGGCTGAACCTTTCCAGCGTGAAGGTGCAGTGCAGGTTCCTCTGGCATCCACTCCAGATGTGGTAAAAGGGAATTTCCTGCAAGAGGAAAGCAAAAAAAAAAAGTATAGCAAGGGAAGGACGTGGGACCAGGGTGCGGATGCTATATGACCAGAGACCATGGGCTCCATACCACTATTACTGCAAATGGTCCAGGATAAAAAATGTTCACAGTACTGCAACCTGGCACTGGGTGTTTTTTAAACAAACACCCCTGTGTGTCACTGTATTTCTTTAAGTGTCACTGCTAGGATCCAATGTGAATGGTTTGTGATGCTCACCTGGTATTTAGCCAGCAGTTTGCTCTTCCAGAGAGAGTGGGCAATGTCATGAATGGACAGGCGGAGGTTGTGGGTGCTTCCCTTAAAATGCAAAGCTTTGGGCTCCTCCAAAAGCTGCCCACCCATCTGCCGCTCGAGCTGGAGGACCTCCTGCAGTATTGCGATAAAAAGAAGAAAGTGGTCAGGTTTCATCAAGACAGCACACTGGGCTTCTGATTCCTCAAGATTGACTGCTGTAATTGCTGTACCTTGTGTAATACAGGAAAAAAAAGTGCAGAGTTGTGTTTTCCTGTGAACCAGAATCGCATTAGTGGATCTGAGTATAACCCCCTCATCCCCTTCATACAGCAGCAGCCCAGCAGGGATGCAGGCACCCATGTCTCATTTGGGGGACACAGTGTCCTGTCCTATAAGCAGAAAACTTAATTGCATGCTATTAAATTGAATGCAAAGACTTTGTATACAGGCACTGTTTGAATACAGAACTATATCAGTCTTCTCCATTGTTCATCGAACTGGACATCTAATGATAGATTTACTATTTTGCTTTTGGAAGCTCTTATTTGTGTAGGTCCTGCTGATATGGGACCTGTGCATACCACTGGTCCTTCAGCTTGTGGAGCCGTACAGGAGGTATCTGATGCCTATGCTGAGACTAACCGTCAAGCGGGATAGTATCAAAACAATGCAAGACACTGTGACAGAGCATTTTGTCCATATGAATACATAGGTTCAGGGTTACTGAAATATTGATCTTGTAATTAAAAGCTGGTAAGACAAGAGCCTGGTCATTTTCTGCAGCTAAAAATAAATATGTGCCTGTAGCTAATGAGACCACAGTGAACCATTGCCTACAAACAGCCTAATTGTAGTCCACATGGAAGAAGCATGTAGTCCACATGGAGGCCCGTTAGAAACCAATACAGCCGAACTCAGTCATATTTAATTACAAGAGCCAACCAACCAACCAGTCTCACATGGCCAAAGCCAATCATGTCCAGAGTGAGCACACTCAAGGAGTACGTGGGCACACAAAACCAGGATGCTACCCCAGGCCAACTAAAGGAGCCTCTGTTTTAGCTAAGCTCAAAACAAGCTACTCTTGATCATGTTCATGATCTAGTTAGCACACAAGAAAAGCCCCTGTCCCTGGCGAGCCCAGCACCTGGCAAATACTGAAGCTAAAATGATGTTCGTCTATCAGCCATTAGAGGAAAAGAAACAAAATCAGGAAACCTTTTAAATTAAGGTTATGCCAATGAATCACTCCCAGCTTCTTTCCAGTGCCCCCTAATTACCTTGTCAAGATGTCTAAAGAGCAATCGATATTAATTATCTGATTACTATAGATCTTCATTATGTCCAAATTACCTCCCTGGAAGGGCCAGAAGACGACTCACGGCACTGCGTGAGCTAATTGCAGACACCACCTCTCAGGCACATGGGGCGCCGGAGCCGAACGACCACTCCTGACCATGCAGCACCAGCTCTGGGAGCTGCACTACTGTGGGAAAAAACATTGCAGCGTGATGCTGCACCATCCCACCCACGAGATCTGGATGTCTTGTTTCAATATCCCACTTTTGGTAACCACCCTTGATCATTCTAGCCCCTCTCTGGGCTCCAACTGGAGGACGCCATGCAGCCCATGCTTCTCCCATGCCGCTCAGTTAATTAATTCAGAATTAATTTGGAGCCATGATTTGCACAGCCCTTCAAACTTGCAGGCTGGCTCTAGCCATACGGCATTTTATTTAGAGCAGTACTTATCCTGCTGGCTGGTGCCTCTATGCTCTCCTGAGCTGAAACCGGAGCTGCACGTTGCTTTCTCCATGCTGAGGTGGTTACAGCCACCCTCCCCATCGCCTCTCACCACGCCTGTGAGCCAGGACTTCATGCCCTTATGCCTTTCCTAGGAGAGGGAGCTGTGTAAGGCATCACTCCACTGTCAGCGTCACCAGGACAGCCACAACCTGTATTTGGAAAGGGCTTCCTCATTAATGGGGCACAAGCACGCAACAGCATTCAGTTTAAGCTGTTGCCTTTCTTCATTAGAGGAAAAGATACACATTAAGTAACTGAGAGAAGATCACATGCCTGTTTTGTCATTTTTTTGGGGGGGACAGTTACTGTGCAGCATGAGGCGGGTTGGGGGATGACACCCTGCTACAGCCTGAAATCATTCACTTGCCCTCGGTGTGAGAGGCAGCCTTTTCCGCATGCCCGGCTGCTCAGCCCCCGCCCTGCTGTCATACACAGCTCACATACATCAATCTCAAAGCCATACGTGAATAAACAGAATAAAGCAGCTGGATTGCTTTACAGTTATCGTATTATTACTTTTTTTTTTTTTTCACAGCAGACTAGCTTGGGTATCCCCCTCAAAGTGCAAAAATCAGCCTTAAAAAAAGAGGCCAGTGCTTGAGGTCACAGCTACCCTCACCCTTCCCCAAAAAGCATTATGGTGAGCATCCCATCCAGGCGGCTTGGGATCCTGTGGGACAGGGGATGCTGCATGCTTGATCAGCGCTGAGCCCACTCTGCTGCTCCACAGCCCCCAGGAACCCTGCCAACCCACTACCAAAATAACTGAGCCCTTATTGATGACAAGTCATTACACTTCCCTACTGTACTGCAGGCGCCGGCAGTTCAGCAGCAAGCGCTTACTCTGCATGATGAGAGGGAAAAGCCTGCTGGATAAATACTGCACTGTGTTTTATACCGCAACTGCTTGTCTTCCTTTGGTGGCTGTTAGGACACATTCAGCATATGGCACACTCATTCCTAGTTGTAAATAATAACAGAATGCATTCAGTTGCCTATTAAAATAAACACATAATCCCCTACAAAGGCTCTTCCAAACCTCAGACATCCCAACGTAGGAACATCTCACACTGCTCTTCCCTTCCCTTGCCATGCCTTGCCCGGAGCAGCCAGCCCCAAGACACTGAGATGTTGCAGCTGGTGCCTCGCTTGCTGCCTACAACTTTCCCACCCTCTCCAAATTACTTTTAACCTCAGGACCCACTGGTCCAGCCCCATCTGTACACCTTGTCCTGCACAGCCAGAGGTAATTGCCCCGTTAATGCCTTCCCTTTGGCAATATGGCAGTGCCAAGGACCTCCTCCTAGCACGCTGGGGCTGCTGTGGTGCCAGCTGTTGTGAAAGCACGCAGCAAACACCCCAACCTTTTTTTTTCTTACTGAATAGTCATAGTCTACACAACACTGTTGCACAGGACTGGTTTGTACACACCGGTCCATGCTCAACCCTTTCATCTACAACTAGTTTACTAGGTTCATTTTTCTTAAACCTTCTCCTTTCTCAGGCCTTTCATTTCCAGAGAAGTGCAATTGATACAATCGTAAGAGTTTGTGGCCAGCAAGTACATGTGCTTGTCCTCCCGTAAACCACCAGCTAGCTGGGTCTTGAACCCTGTGCATGGCCTTCCAGTCTTCAGGTGGATGTACCAAAAAAGAAGAAAATCAAAATGCACATACTTTGCTGTAAAAAAGCAGTAGGTACAAGTGGGATGGTGGCCGCCTGATTTTGCTCATCTTTCCTCACCAAATCACAAGCTCACTTTGGGGTCTACCTGCAGCAGCAGCCCAAGGACTGGCCTGCCCCCTTCCCAAACACTGGCTGCAGCTTCTCAGGAGAAAGATGGTCCCTCCATGTTGCTCAGCGCCTCTCCTGATCTCTTCTGCTATCACACCAAATCGGATTAACTTTACCTCACAACTCTCCCCACAGTCTATTAGAAACAAACCAACAGCTCTTGAGTAACACCTAATTGGATTCCCCCAGCTCTGACTGCATTAGCTGTCTGTCCAAGGCCCCTCCGACTCACTTATTATTACCTCAGGCCTTGACGAACCCGTGGAAAATTGTATTATGCTGCACAGGCATAAAACCATCAGGACTTTTGAAGCTTGATCGCTATGAAAGATCCTTTTCACTTTTTTTTAAATAAGAAAAACAAAAGGGAAATCAGGCCGGGGAAAATAATTGTTTCTAAAAGCCTGATAACACCAATGCATTGACAGAGGCCAAGCTCCCAGGCCCTGTACAGACAAAACCAGGCTGAAGTCATGATATGCCTGCTTCAACCCTTATACTTTACTGCCTTTCCTACATTTAGTGAAAGAATATCCCCCCAGCAAAGCCTAGGCAGGCAGGCCTTGATATCAGATAGTACTGGGGAAGAAAACAAAAAGTGTGCCATTCACAGTGATGGAAGTCACTTCTCTGAAAAACACAAACATCTCCCAGCCGGTATATGTGGGTTTAAATCCCAATAATTCCCATATGCAGCTGAGGAAACAAAAGCATACACAGCACCAGGATGACTCTGCTTAGAGTCAGGCTTTGAACTCATTTTGCTGCAAAGAGGCATTGGGAAGTCGCACTGGCTACAATTGAAGAAAAAACCCCCACCTTTTAATAAACTCCATTCTTACATGTGCAGTTGGAGCTACATGTTTCATGAGTGCATCTATTATAGATACCACCTGTACAAATACAGGTATTTATAAAGAGAAATAGCAAGTATGGTTACCTATCTGCTCTTCTATATGCAGTGAGTGTATGTTTGTGTGCATGCCAGAATTACGCAGTGAGAGTAACATTACATAGTTAGGGACAGCAACAGCCTCGGTTTATTTCAGTTGTGAATTCCCAACACAAAAAGCTGCACGCAAAGAGGTGTAATAAAGCAGTATGAAAGCAGGCAGTGATTAACAGCCCAGAAGCTTCTTTTATCATTATCAACTATTTACAAAGAAGCATTTATATGTTTCCCCATCTCTGGGGAGCTGGCACTTAGCATTAAAAATACATGAATAACGAATGAAGCCCCGTGTACCTTATGGCCTTTTAATAATGCAAAAATCTTAGGATTCAGGATATGATACAGGTAAACAAAGGAAAAAAGACTCGTGGGCGGAAAATAGTGTGAGATCCCTATACAAAGGACAATTTATAGTGTGTGCGGGTTAAACTGTAAAACAGCAGCTTGTTGTCAAGCTCTTCTAATCAGAAAAAGAACCCAGGCAGCAGGAATACACAGAGCAGAGGGTCTAGTCACCACTATGACTGCAGTCCTGTGAGAGCTGGAGAGGGAGAGGGAAAGTGAGCAAGAGAGCAATAACCACCTTAAGGGCATCCTGCGTGTCATCGAGGCAGTAGACCCGGATGCTGTACTCCAGCGAAGAGCAGGACAGTGGTCCAAAGATGGCCAGTTTGAGACGTTTGGCTGCTGCCTTGGTGATTGACTGTCCCACCAAGGCATACGTGCTGAGGGTTTCTGTCAGGATATGGCAGGCCTCTGGGTCCAGCTGGATATAGCACGGAGTGGTGAAGTTTTCCTCCCCGACCACAACCACATCCTAAGGGAGAAAGAGGCCAAGTTAGAGCTCCTGACCCCTCAGAGCTGCTCTCCTTTGAGACAGCAATGCCCCTTTCAAGCCTGGATGATGCACAAAGTCCTTGCTGTTTGCACTGTAGATTAATCAAGATTTAAAATTCCTGCTTCTGGCTTTTCTCCTGCGTAGGCGTGGGGAGGGCATGATTTCTCTGAGGTGACGATGGTGGTAGAAACCTCCTCCCGTACAACACTCCCCTAAGACTTGTAACTCTTTCCTCTGGACCCTGCAGCAGCTTTTAAAGCCCTGGGCAGAGTTAGGCAAATAATGAAAATATCACCAAAACTTTATTGAAAAAGATATTGCAGAACTAATAATTTGGTGACCGTGATTTAACATCAGTAGTCACAAGCATGTTGAATAAATAACCACCCTTCACTTCCTAAGCATGACAATAAGCAGTTATAAAAACTCAAGGAAGGGAAGTAACCTCTACGATGGCCGAATGCCACATCTACATGAAATATCACCTGCTGCTTCATCAGAATAATCCTCCGTGACGAGACTGCAGGATGAGAAAAAAAATACATACAGCCTAAATGCAGACAGCCACCCCACCCTGTGTGTAAAGGAAAACGGCTCCCTTGCTAATTTCTCCATTCAACCCTGCGTGTAATATCCTGCACGCAACGCAAGGTGATTTGAATGGCTTTAAGAGAGAGCAGAAGCGAAAAAGCAGCAGCTGATGATGGCCACCTCTTGCAAAGCCACCACGTGCCACATGATGCTTGGCAAAACTCATCTGTTTCACCCCCGCTGCCTGCAGGTCTGCAGCAAAATGTACACATCTGGCAGCTGAGCAGTGTGGGCTCAACTGAAATTTGGCATTAAGCTCGGGCCCCCTAGTTTCAGGAAAGGCAAACGTGCCGTATTTGCAGGGGTGGCACAGTCCTTCTGGAGGGTAAGTTGCTGCCGCGCTGATTGCACGCCCCTACGGCCACACCAGCAGCTGGCTCTGGCAGGAGCCCCTGGCCCTGAGCGATGCTGCAGGGGTGTGCAAGCATGCATGCACACGCGCGTGTGTGCGTGCATGCACGTGTGGGGCTCAGCTTGGAGGAGCTGCTCCAGAATTGAGCGGAGGAAGATCACTGAGTGATGGCCAGGGACGCTGTGGGTGCTGCGGAGGCTGCACTGGCACCAGAGCTTGTGCACAGCCGGCACAGCGACCGCTCTGTCAAGGGCAGGAGGATGATGAGGGAGAAAATGAAGAGGTGCCAGTAACACACAGGCGCAAATAAGGAACATATGTGTGGTGCCAAGAGTCAGGCCAGTGGGGTGCAGATTAGTTGGCGAGACAGACCCGTGTTCGCTGCATGCTCCTTCCCAGCGTGAGGAAGAGCCAGTGCCGCAAGGCAGGGGAACAAATGCAAGACCCTTTTGAAGGCAATGCTGGACACGGCGCTCTTGCTGCTGTCAGCCCAACTGCCTTCAGAAGCCACCCTGACCTTATTAAATCTACTGGTAGGAGAAAGTACCCTTGCCAAATTAATTATGTGAGACCAAACTGGTGGCAGCAAGTACCTAGGAGCAAAGGGCTGGAGAAGAGGGCTCTGCCAGGATGGCCCAGCCTTGCCAAAAGCATCACTTTATGCTCCAGTTACAGTGGAAGATCCTTCTGCCACCCTGCCCCGGGACATCCTCCTGCTGCACTACTGGCAAGGAACCACCCCAGGCTCCCACCAAGCCTGCACTGCCCAGCAATCCTTGTGCAGCTCCCCTGAGTTGACAGGGTGCAGAGTTGGAACCTGGCTGTGGGAACTGAAGCAAAGTGATGCTCCACCAACATCTTCAGAAAAACAAAAGAAACACCTATACATTTTATTAAGGTGGACGAAGTGTTGGTGCTGAAGCAGGAGATCTTTTGCAACACTATTTCACTTTCTTGAAAGCTAGGAGAGTGAAAACTATTCTGTAAAAAACATGTTCTTATTTCTAAAATCAAGTCAGAAATTATTTTCAGCCACTGCTTTTTATTTTGCCTTTTCTTTTTCTTCTGTCCCCATGGCTTTGGCACAATATCCTGCTACAACCAAAAGCTCAAGTGCCGAAATCCTGTGATGAAGGCTATTTCATGGAAAATAGCTAGAACTAGGAGGCACCAAACTGCCCCAGGACAGCATCTCTGCATGACCACTGGGCAGCTTAGTCACCTGGTATCAAAGGGCACTCCTGCCTGTAGCAGCCATGCATCTCACACGGAAAACCCAAAATACAGGCATCCCGGTTCAGAAAGGCAGCTGAAGGACTAGCAGAGAGCCCTCCATGCAGTCAGCACACAGGCTGAAGCTCTGGAGCCTCACCTCCCATGGTCCCTGGGCAGCCTGGTGCTTCAGCTGGATCTGCCAGTCCTCCGTGTTCGGTTCTGCGCAGTGGTGCATGGTTAAAATGACAGGCCGGGTTAGCAGGGCTCCTGGTGGGCCGCAGCTCACCACCGGTGTCAGCAGGGTTTGGCTGTCTTCTACAGGAGGCCTGATGAGGAGACAGAAAGATGGATAAGTTAAGTAAGTTGAAAAAGGCAAAAAGGTACATTCAGGTATGTAAAAATAAAAAAATCCTTCTCTTAAAATAAAAAGATTGTGCAAGCAAAGAATGGGTGGGTATGGTTTGGGCTTGTTTTTTTTTTCCAAATCCCCCCTTTTTTTTTTTTTTTTTTTTTTGCCAGATATCACTCATTTGTCAAAATGCAGGTTTAGGTGGCAGCAAATTATAGACCTCACTTGCTGAGCACCCTCCACTCTGAAGGATCCTTGCTGACTGTATGCAGAAGCTTCATTTCACCCACTGCTGAAATGTGGTCACTGCTGCTTTTGGCAGTTGTTTCGCAGCATATGAAAATGAACAGTGGCTCTTGTAAGCACCATGTGTGAGAATTATTTACTGTCTGGACAGAGAAAATTGAAGAACAGAGGAAGAGAATGAACTAACGAGCACGTGTGAAACCTAGTAAGGGGTATACAGCACATCTGAGATGTGCAGTTTGAGTTCAGTCATCAGCAAACCCACTGGTAGTCTATTTTACTTAGAAGGCATTCAGATCTACTAAAATGGCTATTGCAAATACACCTGCGGGGAGCAGGTGTCACCGGTGGCAGGGGAGAGAGGGCGAAGGGATGGTAAGGAATAGTGCAGAGAGCAAAACACACTTGCAAAGCCTGAGATTTCTCTTGATAACCTAGAGCTGTTCAGTTAAAAACACAGGTATTGTCCAGTGTGCTTGCTGTCAGTCACTAGGAATGGGTGTTATGGGAAATTGTATAAATATTTAGGATACATAGCATACACTGTAGTTTGTAAATGATAAAGCGTGTGTGTGTGTGTGTGTGCCTGTGCATGTGTAAACTATCCCAGACCAACTGCTGAGGAGCTTAAAAACAGAGGAAGCATGAGTGACTTTAACTATCACGACATCTGGTGTATGACAAATACAGCTGAATGTGCCTCATCAGCTGCCTTCCCTAAATAATATAGAGGACAAATTCATGATCCAGAAAACAGCAAGCGGGAGATTAAAAGTGTTCAATGTGATCTGCGCTTAAACTCCAGATCTGCCCACAGGACCTCCCATCCTCTGCTCCAGCTAAGGGTTCAATCCCTTGTTGCATTTACAGATACTTGTATTTACAACTGTATTGGTCTTAGTGAAATTAGTTGAGAAAACATTAAATACTGTTTATTTCTGTAAGTCTTTGCCTCTACCAAAAGAAAGAGCAAAAAAAGTAGCTGTAATCTTAGATAACATTTTCAAGGAGGCTAAATCAGGACAGAAGTTGTTCCGATATCCATTTTATTGCAGCTATTCTGGTGATTGCAAAGATATGTCCACAGTCATAACCTAATTTTGTCCACCTTAATTCTCCCTGAATATTCCATTAATCTCACAGAAAATGAAAACTTTTGAGAAATCTTTTTCAAAGTGGGACAAAGGCACTTTTGAAAAGCATCTCATTGCTACAAATGTTGTGGGAGGTTTTTATAACATTTGAGGAAAAAAAAAAGGTCCGGCATGGAAAAATTTAAATCTATGCAAATCAGTGAATCCAGATGATATGCATCTGTGGAAATTAACTGATGAGTTTACTAAATGACTTAACAATTGTTTCTGAAAAGCCGTGGACTGGAAACAAACAGCTGCAATATAGCTGCCTTTCAAAAAAGATGTAAAGTATAACAATCTGGACAGCTATCATGTTATGCCAGATATTTTAGCCTAACAAACAGTACACAAAAGAAATTAAACACTAGCAGATGGAGTACCTAGTCCAGCTCCTTTTGCATGCTGTACAGATCTCTGGATTCAGATTAAGAAGATCAGGGATCACTCTCTTGCAAGACTGAACTGAATAAATCATTGGGCAGTTTTTGACTAAAATGTTGCTTCTTTTTCAGACTCATTTACTTCAGGGTTTTTTTTCATAAGAAGCAACAAGAAGCTTAAAAAACCACTCACAGTGTGGCAGTGGTTTTTAATGGTTATCTACCTTGTGCATTAATGGATATTTTTACACTCTCCTACAGTCTAATTCAGGAAATTTCAAAAAACATAATGTCTTATGAGAAAGATCTTTCAAAATTACAATGTTTGTCTGGAAAGCTACAGATATGACAAGCTATAGACTTAATCATCTGGTTAACCTAACTTCATCTAAAAGACTACTGACCCATGAAAAAGGAAGGAAAAAAATTACAAGTTATTATAGATTTTTGGACTGAATTACAAAACCAGCAGTCAAAAAGAATATAGCAGGAAATATATCATGATTGCCATAAAAAAACCTCATACAGTGCCTTTTAGGTGAAAAATGAGTTAAAATCGACAAGAATCTGAGCACCGATGCATGCAGTTAAAAAAAGCCAAAAGGTCATTAAAATAATATGGTACTGATAAATCATACAGCCTAAAGTTGTCTCAAAGTAAAATTAAGTTTAGTCACTGCTCCGTGACAAAATTTTGTTAGGTGTTAAATTTTAGGACTCTGATGGAGGGCATGATTCTGTGCTGCCACATTTTATATCCGATTAGCACAAGTATAAAAAATGATGCAGAACACGAAGTTGGGAGGCGCTCCAGACTGCACAGTCAGCAAGTGAGATGGGAAGTGGACACAAGCCTACAAAGGACATGCAAAAAATAGCAAGGCTTAGTATTTTTTCCCCAAGTTGGTAAACAGCATCTTTGTCACCAGACTTACTACATTTATTGCCAAATGGATGAGATATGCGTGCTCCTGACCTAGGTATTTATGATATAGGACACTCTGATGAGTGAAGAGCAGAAAAATGGGCCAGTTGCGGGGGTGCTTGACTTTGCAGTCCCAAATTGCCAACCAGACATGCATCTGAGTCCAGCACCCCAAAAGTTATTGAATGCTGCCAGTCCTGGTGACTCTCCACCATCCACCTCATGCAGACAAACCTTTAAAAACTGAGATCCAGTGAATTGCAGAGAAGTTCTTGAGTGGTGTGAAACAGGGTCAGTGTCACTGAATAGGTGAAATCCCAGCTCTGATGAAGTCCATGCTAAACCTCTCTCTGACTACTGTGAGGCCAGGATTTCTACTCTCGATGTGGAAGACAATGTAAATAGCAACTCAATCATTAAATTTACTGATAACAATTAATAAGGAATTATTGCAAGTAACAATGCGAGTCAGAAAATAATGAAAAAGATCCAGAGATGGTTAAAATATGGGTAGGAAATAAAATCCTATTAATTGTAGAGCAGCTCACACTGCTGCAACAAAACAAGTTCCAAACATAGTTACTTAGTAGCAAAGAAAGCAATGAAAGTGAAGAAGATCTGGGGTGAGCTTACTGCAACGCAGCAAGCGTCAACTTGTAATGTGGCACAGCGGCAAAAAGCAAATCTGATTTCTGGGGCTGTATGGGACAAGACATGTCAAAGCACGCTGAGGTGATATTCCCTTTCCTATCCAGCTCTAATGTGACTGCAGGTAGCAGTGTGTTTAGGGACTGCAGTGAGATCTCAAAAATAAACACCTGAAACCCAGAGGAGTGAGGCTAAACCATGTAATGGTACATACAGCAGAGAGGCACTCTATGACAACTGACAGGTAAAAGGAACAAAAATCTCTTGACAGATCTTTTCTTATTTCTTACTGTTTCCAATTTCCATTTTAAAACAAAAGGATTATGCCTTACTATAGCTAATGAGAACAGAAACAGATGCAGTAGACAAGATATATTATACAAGAGATATTAATCTTTCTGCTTCAAGGCATAAGCCCAACACTAATTGATGGAATTAGTAAACAACAAATTCCCCTGAAGACAAGTTATTGTGTAGTCATTCATTACGAGCAATTTTCTTCCAGTCAGTCACCTCTGTGCACGGCAAGATCATGGAGCAGATCCTCCTGAAAACTGTGTTAAGGCATGTGGAAAATAAGGAGGTGATTGGTGACAGCCAACATGGCTTCACTAAGGGCAAATCGTGCCTGACACATTTGGTGGCCCTTTACGATGGGGTTACAGCGTTGGTGGATAAGGGAAGAGCAACGAACATCATCTACCTGGACTTGTGCAAAGCATTTGACACTGTCCAGCACGACATCCTTGTCTCTTAATTGGAGACACATGGATCTGATGGATGGACCACTCAGTGGATAAGGAATTGGCTGGATGGTGACACTCAAAGAGTTGCTGTCAATGGCTCAATGTCCGAGTGGAGACCAGTGATGAGTGGCGTTCCTCAGGGGTTGGTATTGGGACCAGTGCTGTTTAACATCTTTGTCGATGACATGGACAGTGGGATTGAGTGCACCTCAGCAGGTTTGCTGATGACACCAAGGTGTGTGGTGCAGTCAACATGCTGGAGGGAAGGGATGCCACCAGAGAGACTTTGACAGGCTTGAGATTGGGCCTGTGCAAATCTTATGAAGTTCAACAAGGCCAAGTGCAAGGTCCTGCAGATGGGTTGGGGCGATCCCAAGCACAGATACAGGCTGGGAGTAGAATGGATTGAGAGCAGCCCTGCAGAGAAGGACTTGGGGGTGTTGGTTGACGAGAAGTTCAACATGACCCAGCAATGTGCACTTGCAGCCCAGAAAGCCAACCATATCCTGGGCTGCATCAAAAGAAGCGTGACCAGAAGTTCAAGGGAGGTGATTCTCCCCCTCTACTCTGCTCTCATGAGACCCCACCTGGAGTACTGTGTTCAGCTCTGGGGCCCCCAACATAAGAAGGACATGGACCTGTTGGAGCGAGTCCAGAGGAGGGCCACAAAGATCATCATGGGACTGGAGCACCTCTCCTATGAAGACAGGCTGAGAGGGTTGGGGTTGTTGAGCCTGGAGAAGAGAAGGCTCTGGGGAGACCTTATAGCAGCCTTTCAGTGCTTAACAGGGGCCTACAGAAAAGCCAGAGAGGGACTTTTTACAAGGGCATGTAGTGATAGGACAAGGGGTTAATGGCTTTAAACTGAAAGAGGTAGATTTAGATTAGATATAAGG